CAATGGCCAGTTGGGGTCTCCTTCAGCTCAGTGTTGTCCAGTAGGGGTTGCCGGCAGGGCCTCTGGGGTGAATAGGTGGTGTGGCGTGGTGATGGTCCAGATGGAAATGGCATTCCCAAGGAGTCAGTCTTCTCTTCACTACCCCTTTTTATGGGGTAGACTACCTATGATCTCCTATGGGGAGGCCCTGTCCAGGCAAGGTCAGTCCTGTTCCAGAGGGTTCCAGGTGTTCTTGCTGAGCATGTGCAGCCTTGGCACAATGGTGGGTTGCCTCATCTTTGATGAGCTTTAGTTCAAGTACCCCCACTGCCATTTTAAAGTATGGGGACCCTGATACACAAGACACAGGAGGCTGCTGGAGCACAGGAATTGCCACGCTCCAGCAGACTCAATTAATCAAGTTTGCTCTGACACACTGGAATTCCAGCTCATCGAAGCAGCCTCTGCACTTGTGTATAGGAGCCCTTGATCTCAGTGGCAGGGTTAGGAGAGAACTAGATGTGAACATTAGGGTAGTTTGGGACATGTGCAGAGGGTAGAATTGCTGATCCATAAAGAAGTTCTTCCTGACATCCAACCCAAAACCATCCTCTAACAGTTTATGGCCATTGCTCAATGTCCTCCCCTGGGGCAACCTAGTGAACAGTTGTTCTCCCAGCTCCCGATATTCACCCCTTACATGCTTATAGACCAGAGGCGGGCAATTATTTCAGGCTGAGGGCCACTTATCCAGTTTTGGCAAGCTGTCAAGGGCCACATGGGTAGCTCTGCCCCTTGAAAGATGCCCTGCCCCTGGTCACCATCTTGGGACCAATGTCTCAGGGCCAGCAGGGTACAGGCTGGCAGGGGTCTGTGGAGCCAGGTTGAGCTGCACCATCAGGGAGACAGGGGAGCTGGCCCAGCTCCATAGAGCCCCTGCCAGCCAGGACCCTGTACTCCTGCTGCCCTGCTCTGGGCCCCACTGGCACTGGCCCTGGGACACTGGTGTGGGCCCCATGCAACCACTCACTCCCAGTGCCCCCCCTAGCCCCGTGGTACAGGCGGGGGGTGGCAGCGAGCAGCCCCGACACCCTGCTCTGTGGCAGTGAACGAGCTGGTGCGGAGCACAGGGAAATGTGGCCCCTCCCCTGCCCTGTGGCCGGCGCTCCCTGCTGCAGCCTCTCACAGCTCATGTAGGGCTGTCCTGAGCAGGCACAGGTGGGGACTGGAGTGAAGAGGCAGAAGATGTTTGCAGCTGGGCCAGGTTCTAGGTAGCTGCTGACAGTTACAGAGCCTGTGTTGGGGGGCAGGGGCTTTGGGTGGGAGGCAAGGGGCAGCAGGGCTGGGGGGCAGGGGCTTTGGGT